AAGATAGTGTAGTACCAGCATAAAGTATAAGGATCATAGGGAGCACGGGCGAGCTGTATTGCCATTGCAAAAAAAATTATTATCCCAGCAGTCAGAGTTGTTATATTAACATATAACACTCGCTACCCGCGGTGCCATAAATCATGGGCGCCCTAGGAACAGATGCATCCGGTGCGTAACTTATCGATGACCGCCTATTGATTCCTAGAAGGATGAAGAATAGTGTACGCTGGCGCGCGGTTGTATTTAATAAGTGCGGGTATTTTAATAATTACTCTGCAAGAGTAATTTAATATAATTATTAATACGTTTATAGGGTACATATAACGGGTGTTTATCTTTTTATATGCTTCATTAGTCATTTGACATTTGCACGTACTGATTATTGATTTAACATAGGTTTTTAAAAAATCATCATAAAAATTGACACTTTTTGGAAACCAGTATTAAACGTGTTGGAACAAATATTTAACCTCAAGCCCGAATCTTTATTAACAATGTGCTTATGTTTTTAACGGAAGTTAAAAGAGATCCCGAAAAATGAAAGAGTATTAATTTGTATAACTATTTTAAATTTACCTTTCTTAATATACACATCGACACGACAGTAATGCGTTACTATGCCTGCCGCAAAGAGCGTAAGTGCGACAGAGAGTAAGGTGGCGTCCAGTTTCCCCATTTCATTGCACCGCGGCCAGCGACTGTTCAACATTAGTAGAGTCATAGTTACCGAAATATACACTCAATAAAAATATTAATTAATTCGCAAACTTCCGCCAACTAAATACACATCATTGTATTTAGTTGGCGGAAGTTTGAAGTTTTTTACTCAAGTCAACTTTATACGGAATGTAAGAGATAGATTATCAAAACATCGATTTTTTTAACAAAATAGTTTGTATCATTTCTCTTACCGAGGGGAAAATATATTTATTACATAAAAAACAATATTATGAAAAATTATAAAAATTTGTTTTTAATTTGTGCAATTAAACATAAAATATAAGCAATATTACACCACAATTCATTCAATTTCTATTTAAATAAGCATTGACAAACAATAAAACATTAAAAAATATTTGCTAACAATTACATTAAATTATTTAATTATTTAAACATTCTAATTATAAAATAATCCGTAAAACACAACATGCTTTTAAAGCCGACCAGGAAATTAAAAACCTCCACAAAATATTCGCAATATTTACAAAACTATTTGTGACAATAGTAACGCCGAAATACTACATCTAGTACGCCGCTACTCAACCCGTCAAGAGCTGCGAATATGGTAGAGATGATTTATTTCACGAATTCGGGCGAGCCTTAGTTGTTGTGATGTGATACACGCGTGTTTGTATGCGTAAATAAAATAATCGTAGAACAACGCGTGTCAGCGGCGGATCGGAGGGGAGTAGCCATAGCGTTTTTCCTCGATACCATGATGGTTAGAGAACAGGAGAACGATCGCCGTAGAAAATAGTGTCCCAGACATATGGTAACCATAAGTGAGCCGCTGAGATCACTAAGTTCGCTCAATAAAAGTCATTTTGAGTCTATTTTTCCGATCAAATGCTAAACCTCTTGCACATCCACGCACAATAAAATATTTCTCCATTTTTTAACGTTTCTTGTTGTCAAAAATTACAAAATTACGGAGCATGAAAATTTTCTCATTAAAAATGAAATGAAAATTTGTACATTATTCAACTAACTTCATCTACTTGTACTCATAAACAGCTAACTTCGCAGTCACTACTCACCGACGTCAGCGTCGCTATATATTCTAAAATTTTCAAGGACAGGCGGGCTATGCTTTAGTACGTAGCATCATGCTCGATACAGAAATGTCTGACATTCTTGCGGGGAAAATCTGCCACAAAACAATCGTCTGTCACTAAGAAACTCACACATAACAATTAAAACAATAAACTAACAATTTCATACACATAGATAAATTAAAACAGTATCGCACAGTGAGCGATAGCTCGGATACAAACTTTGATCAGTTGCTCGATCGATCTGCAAATTGTATTAGGACAATTGGCCTGTGTTGTCAAACAAATCCGGCACAACACGGCAGTTTTTTTAAGTTTAACTAGAAGTAAATAGCAATAATGTGATTGGAAATTACTCATATGACGCCTTTGACGTTGATCTAGTGGTTATAATAGTGCGACTGCTGATCACGAGGTCCTGGGGTTTGAATCCCGGGTCGGGCCAAAAAATAGTTTTTGAGTTTTTTCGTCAAGAAATTCTCAGTAGCTGCCCGGAGTCAGGAAGTTGGCGGTGTCTCACCCCCGTGCACGTAAAGCCGTTGGTCCTGCGCCTGATCTCTCTCCGGTCGTGTCGGTTTACCGTCCCATCGGTTTTTTTTTAACCGTGACCAAAATTCGGTCTGGAGGACATTATTATTATGAAAGGTAACAATTCTACATTTTTGTAGGAAATCGATTCAGCCGCGTAAATAGATTTAGTCTAGTGAGTAGTATGGCCGCAACTGGTTTTTTTGTACGCGAAATGCCTGCATATGGTTACTCACCTCCGATTGGCTGATGGACCGTGTTTTTCTATTACAATAATAGTTAAAGTTATTTTGACTTTAGAGCTTACGCACACAAAAGAATGTGAAATAAAATACTACAAATTCTAAGACAAGAATTACGCTTAATGCTGGGTTTTTATTTTTCTGGTCAAACTATACATAATATATAAAATCTTAATTAAAAAATCGTTAACGTGCAATAAAATAATTGAAGACAAAACTTAATAACTAATAACGAACTGAATACCTTTGGCATTAGTATTATATTAACTCACTTTACGTTCGTAAGTAAAGCAAATAATTAACATTCGCATAAACATACTTATAAATAGTAAATTAAATTAAAAATTCCATATTATAGTGAAATTAAAATAATAACAATTATGGATAGAGTATAAAATTACAAGATAATTTTTTTACAGTAAGTAATTTTTTAAAACCTCTTTTATTTAAAAACAAAACTCAGGTAAAAATACACTGCCAATTATGTGCTAAAATTGTTTTTTTTATTAATGATTTTGGTGATGAAGGGTTTTTAATATAGTGTAGAAGTAAGGAGTACAGACTGTGTATTAAAAAGTGTCCGTAGAAAAATATTAAATAAGGGTGGCGCCACTATAGCTACGGGCTAAATTTTAAAGAACGTGCCGAAAAATATTAGTAGGATAGACGACTTTTTCGAGGTTATATTTACTAAATAAAATTATTTTAGATTTTAGAGCTACTGAGCAGTTTAGCAGCACACTTCACACCGTCGACAAAGCTAAGTTCACTTCATCCCAGTTACTCCAGCGCTGTTGTGGAGAGTTTTTGAGCTGTTATTTACTGCTTGCAGATGGACACTTTTTCAACTATTCTACTATGGGAGTTGGTCCTCCTTACTTCTACACTCCATAGTTTTTAAATATTATGCTTGTGTTACTTGTCAGGGAAATTTTATGCCACTTAATTTAACGCGAGAAGAACCAGATAGTTACAAGGCTAACAATTCTTGTTTATTTCAGTCAAGCGTCGATTAGTATATAAAACGATGCCTTATACTGCACTACAATGTTTATTCAGTTAGAAGATTAATATATTCATGGAAGTTTCTAAAGGATGCTAAATTCTATTGAGGATAATTAACTATTCTTAACTACGGCATGACCTTAGTAATATGTAAATAGAATAATAGTTGTAGAAGTATTTTAAATATTGTGTTGAACTCATTCAATGCGTTATTTGCTATTATTTCATAAGTCTAAAATAATCGTAAATATAGCAATAACATTAATGTGTGTTGTGTTATCCGAAATAGAACCCAATATACTGGCCAATGCAAAAGACGTCATAAATCGACGCCATACTGGTGATTCGTTTCAAAACATTCGCAAGTAAATGATATACTTATCACACATTTGCGCTATATTGGAAACTTGTTGGCGATTATTTTAAGTCAATTTATGGACTTTTTAATAAGCTGTGTTATTAAATAATTACAATTACTCAGTGTTCAGAAAATGTCACCGGTTAATTTTAATTAACGTATGTAGTAATTTTTAAATTAAAAATACAATAAGTTTGTGATCGTTTCTAAGAGTCTGTTTATTAAGTCTATAGAAGGAATTATTTTATATTATTTGCATCATTTCAATTTCGTTCTATATAATTTCAAAGCATTCCGATATATGATGTATAAGTTACGTACATAATTGAACTAATTCAAAAGATGCGCCCAAATATTAAAAAAAAAGCTAAAACGAGTTAAAACAAAATTTCTCATCTCTCAACAGCTTTTAACAACACATAGTTAAGAGAATGTTTTTCAAACGAGCACATTCCTCAGTAAGTGGATGCTGTGTATCATAGACATCTACATCTACCCTCGATAAAGAATCAAAATGCAGATGCGTTGTCACAACTGAGAACTAACATAAAATGCCTCGTTTCCGATAAAAAGAATCTCCGGTCCTCTACATTCACCATATCAAACACAGAAGCACTGAGCTGCTATATTACGTTAGTATTCTTTGAGAGCGTGGTTTTTCCTCGGTTGAGTGTACCAAAAGTAACTTTAATGATGTCGTTAAAGTGCTTCATAAAATAATTCCTTACAGTTTGCACAAAGCAGTTCATCAATTCCATTGACATTTCGTCGTCTACCAAGCTTGGCTAGGCAGGTCTTTTCTGCAACAGGAGACCCTATCTAGACTTTAACGGCGCTTGACAATGAAGATTTACATTTAAAATAAATGTTCCACAATATAATAATTATTATGCGGATAGCACCATTGTTTAAAAACTGTAAACCTATTTCTATATATTTAAAAAAGAAACAAAATTCGTAATTGAAAATAATTGAAATAACATTTCTGTCACCCGACAAATAACGCCGAACTTTTCTTAAATGCCTCTTCTTCAGCCTTTTGCGATCTTAAATACCAATTTCCCTACGAAAATGACGCAAACAACAGAATAGTCACACCCCATCATCCTTCGGAACCATATTATCCAGTTTCAACTGTTCCAACTGTAGTTGCCTCCTGATGGAACCTAACTGGGTCAATATGTTCACATTCTTCCCCTCTTCATTTGGCAAAGTCTTTAAAATGTTTCTTTGGACGGCCGGTACTTTCCATTTACAGTCAACCGTTTGCATTGCTTCGCTTAAATCTGTATTTTCGTTCATATCTTTCGCAATATTAATAGGGGAATGCCTCAAAACCGGAATCGGTAACGTGTCCTCTTTATCGGTTTTTATGTTGCGTTTCTCTTTAGGCTGCGTATGAATTAGTGCCTTCTCCACTATAACGTTTTTGTTTTTTTCGTCATTTCTAACATTATCTGTGTATTTTTTATTGCTGTCTTCCATTTGAATTCTGCTTTGAGATTCTCTATGCAGGTTGTTTGACATTAAACTGTCTCTGCTCGGATTAAGGTTCTTTCTTAGATAACTTTCTACATCGTAGTTTTTGGAAAAGATTGAGTTATCGGGGATATTGATCGAGTAAGGTGGTTTTGTTTGGGGGTTAGTTTTATTTTGGTTGTAAAAGGGTAGCTTTGAGGGGTTTTTATCGCTGTGAGACGTTTGGGTGATTTTTCGAGTGACAGGTTGGTATTGAGAAGTTGCCCTCATTAGAGTTTTCTTTTCTTCCTCGATCTCTTTTTGTAGAGCGTTGCGTTTCTTCTCGTATTCAGTCGCGTGCTCCCTCAGCTGAAATTCGGGAATATTTATTATACCTATAACACCTTGACTCTGCTACCCCCATCACTGTTTGGGTATTTTACATTTAATATAGCGTCATTAATTATTGGCATATTAAATTACCGTAACATTTGATGCCTTTATATTAAAAAACTAAAATATTGATATTAAACATACCAATGTTAAAATACCGAATCACTGGAGATGCTGACATATTAAAGTATCAGATCAATACCAATATATTATATATTAGAGTACCGGGTTCTTAAAGATGCTGGTATATTAATGTTTTTTTTTTATAGAAGAGAGGGCAAACGAGCATGCGGCTCACCTGATGTTAAGTGACTACCGCCGCCCATGATCAACCGCAACACCAGGGGAATTGCGGGTGCGTTGCCGGCCCTTTAGAAAGGAGTAAGCTCTTTTCTTGAAGGTCCCCAGGTCGTATCGGTCCGGAAAAATCGCTGGTGATAAACTATTCCACAGAGAGGTTGTACGCTTGTTTGTTTGTTGTTTGTTGTTGTGGTATGTACCGGGTCATTAAAGATGCCGGTATATTAAAGTACCGGGTCACTGGAGATGCCGGTATATTAAAGTACCGGGTCGTCGAAGATGCCGGTGTATTAAATTACCGGGTCACTGCAGATGCCGGTATGTTAAAGTTTAAAAAAAAACAAGAAACAAGAAAGTACCGGGTCACTGGAGATGGCGGTATATTAAAGTACCGGGTCATTGAAGATGCCGGTATATTAAAGTACCGGGTCACTGGATATGCCAGTATGGGTCATTGGAGATGCCGGTATGGGTCATTGGAGATGCCGGTACGGGTCACTGGAGATGCCGTATAGATCACTGGGGATGCCGATTTGGGTCACTGGAGATGATATAAAAGCATCGGGTCACTGCAGATGGTGGCATATTAAAGCATCCGGTCATTCGAGATACCGGTATATAAAAGTACAGGGTAACTGGTGATGCCGGTATATTAAAGTATCGGGGTCACTGGAGATGCCGGTATATTTTTTATAGTATTGGGTGACAAACGAGCACACAATTCACCTGATGGTAAGTGAATGCTGTGGTCCATAGACATCCACATTTGTCTTCAACTAAGTATCATAATGCAAATGCGTTGTCACCCTGACGACTAAGATGTTATGCCTCGATTCCAGTAAATAGGGTCTCCGGTTCTCTACACTCACCATATGAAATAAAGGCAGCATTACGCTGCTATTTTACGCTAGTATTCTGTGAGTGCGTTGTCCTGCATCGGTTGAGCCGGCCCATTCATGCTACAACTATAATATAGCTACAGCGTGGCTCTACTACCTAATATAAAAGTACAGAGTGTATTATAGTACTGGATCACCAGACTCCGAAAGAAATATTACGTACAGATTCGTCAGCGTTAATCTGTCTGTAAGTTTCGTGTTGCTGGGCCACTTTCAACGCACGTAGCTGTTCTTCTAGTCGGCGCATTTCTGCCTGCTCGAGCATTCTAGAAAAAAAATTAAAAAATTAAATCACGGTATAAGTTACAATTTATCAATTGCAGTCATGTCACGTTAACAGTAGTATATAGCGTGCAAAATATAATTTCAAACTGTTCATAAAACGTTATTCTACTACTATCTAAAAATCTTTTGAGTCATAAAAGCTTAATACATAATAAAATTTTTAGGTATACTGTTAGCAGTTCATAAATGTGTGACCCGCGTGAAAAAATATACCGCTGACGTGAAGCACCCACGCTTCGGGACGTTTGCAGTATGTCAACATGTTCAGGATCGTCCCAACCATTATATCAGATTTGATAGATCACAAATCCTCTCAAAAGAATATCGATTCCTACCAACGATGATACGCGAAGCTATTGAAATAAAAAAAAAACATCCTAATTTAAATAGAGAAGATGGCTGGATGCTAACAGCTGCTTGGGATCCCATAATTAGTAAAATTAAATACAAAACCAAACCTACTACTGCAAGACTATAAGCTCGTTCTGTGTAAACGCGTTAGCATGTGTAAACTTAGCTTTATTGAATCTATTTTTATTATACAATAATCTATCTCGCTTGCACACCATTTTAACTACTTTATTCAATATTTCTCTTTCGTACCTACATATTATATACTTCCGTCTCCTTTCACGTTAACTTTAGTTCCTTTAAATTTTAACCATGTTCGTTTGTCTCTGTCTGGCGTACTGGGTTGAATCTTGCAACTCAAATTTCGAGCACTTCCAAATGAGCTAGACATTAACAATTTTGAACATGGCTTAAACATTTCATCTTAACAAGCATATCTATTATAGTTTAAAACATAGAATACTATAATACACAATAGAATGGCTGTAAACCTTATTTTGTACGAGGATTAGCGTCGCCAAACCTGATTCGCTGTGTTGACAGACTGAGTAAATTTACACATTTTAGACTTTTGATTAATGTTCAAGATCATCATTAAAAAAATCGTTTAAATTTTAATACAAATTTGTTTACAATTTTGGCATTATCTAAATAATTTGCATGCGGAATTTGGAAACGATTGTAACGTCAAAATACATCTTGTGTTGACAGTTATACGTGTGAATTGTGAAAAGTGACATTTTAGTGACTACGCGGGCTCCGCCCACTCCCCCGTTCTATTATGTAAGTATTATAGTATTCTATGGTTTAAAACTTACTATAATTTCTGCCGCTAAATAGGCACTCTATGGGTGAGGTCTTTTCAGCAGTGGACTTATTATAGACCGTTACGATAACGGTAACAGTAATAAAAGTAAATTCAAATAATATAGTGATTTATTAATTATAGTGTTAAATATCCAATTATACTGACTCTCTTATTATGCAAAATGGAACACGGCAGAAACAAGTATATAAAAAAAGGAAAGGTTACAAGCCTAGACGGAAACCCTTTTCTAAAAAGTGTGACAACATCTTACTTCTCCCTAGTTTTTCTTTCTTCTCGAATCCTCTGCTGTTCCAAGATCTGATTTTTCAACTCCTGCTGGTAAAATTGACGCCTCTCCGCCGCTTCCTTTTAAATAAGAAAAATATTACACAAATAATCATTAAACAATTGTTATTACAGCAAATATTTGTACTATTTTGAGTTATGATCGGGAAGAAACTGCTACCCATTTCCTGTGCATTTCCATCTGTCGCCTCTAAAGCTGGCGGCTAAAGCATTCGGCACGTCAGTACGGCCAGAAGAGCAGCGCGATCACGAGCGCCGAGCACCCGGCTGTCGGTTTTTTTGGCGATTCCCTTTTTTATATAGGATACGGCGACAAACGAGCACACAGTCCACCTGATGGTAAGTGGTTGCTGTGGCCCATAGACATCTACATCTATCCTCGATTACGAATCAAAATGCAGATGCGTTGTCACCGGTGAGTACTAAGATGGAATGCCTCGATTCCAGTAAAAAGTCTCCGGTTCTCTACACTCACCATACGAAACACAGCAGCATTAAGCTACTATTTCACGCTGGTATTCTGTGAGAGCGTGGTCTTTCCCCGGTCGACCTGACCCACTCGTACTACAACTATACTTCAAATATAACTGCAGCATGGCTCTACCACGTATAGGTATGTTTGAATGTTACATTACAAATCCCTTTGAATGTTAAATTACAAGTCGGTCGGTAACGCGAATACAGCCGAGAGCCTTGCTCTGTTTGTGTTTTGTTATTTTTGCGTATGGCAAAATGCAGTGAAGTCAGAAAAAACAATTTTTGTTCAATCTGCCAGCTTTATTTCAAATTTTGAACAAATTTGTTGTCCAAATACGCTTTCTTTTCGTCTTTAAGTAGCAATAATCGATTAAAAGGAACACAGTACACTACCTTACCTCTACATCTGCCATTTTGAATACAACTACTAGAGCACAGTTAAGCATATTATATTCGTCGCAAAGATTCACGTGTCATAAGCATTTGCTCACAATGAACAAATACTCCTTGCGAATATGCACTTCGAGCAAATACTCATGACAGTTGCAACTTTTACACACTTATAACATTCTGTGAATGTACAGGATGATATAAAGTAGTGGATATTCTTACACCGCCACTATATGGTGTGAAAAATTGCAGTTGGCAAGCCGCCTGCCAAACGTTGCAACTTTGCCAAATCCCCTATGAAGCATTCTATGGGAAAACCCTATATTCAGCAGTGAACTTTTTCCTTTCTAGCCTCTAATGGTAATGGTCTATAAACTTACAATCAGGTGGCTGTAAATTGTAAGTACGTTAGTCACTTCAGTTTTATTTTAAAAAATATATCCAATAGTTGACTCATTGAGTGTAAGGTGAGATCTCACATAGGAGAATAGTTGAAAAAGTGTCCATCTGTAAATAGTAAATAACAGTTCAAAAACTCTCCACAACAGCACTGGAGTAGCTACTGGTATGGAATGAACTTAACAGTTGTCGACAGAGTGGTGTGCTGAGTTGAGGAATTTAATATTTGTGGTGACTAGAGTAATTGATGAAACTGCAGTATTTAAAACCTCAAATACTCACGTTAAGTGATTTTAAAAATATAAATTTTGAAAAAAAATAATTATTAATACAAAAAAGAATTATGGTGAAAGTCTGTGCAATATAAAGTTTTTTTTAAAATTTCACCCTCTAGCTACAGTGGCGCCACCCTTATTTAGCGCTTTCCTACGGAAACTTTTTTATACAGAGACTGTTCTCCTTACCTCTACACTCCACGAGTTGACTGTTCACGGGTTGGTGGGCTTGTAAAAAGTTAATTTACCTTTTCAGCTTGCAGATTTCTCATCTGTATAGCCTCTGCGTCGAATATGGACGGCATGTACGAGTGTCGCAGATCGGCCGTCAGCTTGTCTTTGTTAGACTTATTAACCACGCTCGAAGAACGTTCTGGAAACGAAAACAATAGGATTATTTAAAAATACACAAACAGACTTCAATTTATCGGAGAACAATAATATCTGAATTAGGGACGACTATAACAGTTACTGTGAGATACATCATGTAATAAAAAAAAACACGGTCACATGTCGAATTAATACTTTTCTACAGCCTGGTTTTTCACAAAAGTTGTCCATCAAATATTTTTGCTATAGAATTAGGGTGACAAATAAGCACACAGTCCACCTGATGGGAAGTGGATGCTGTGGCCTATAGAATTACGAATCCCGCACGGGACAAGTATTTGTATGGCCTACAAATAATTATTCCGGGTCTGGATGTGTGTCCTAGTGAAATTTATTTATGTTAACTGCCGTCACGATACAGGAGTAAATCATAATGTGTAAGTAACGTTTATATAAAAAAAGAAAACAAAGAGAAATAGTGGTCGAGTACACAAACATAAAAGCATTGTTTATTCCCTCAGTTTCATAGTCCAATGGAACGGTAATCCGACAAGACTGTAGAGAGATAAGGCGCAAGATTTACGACAGTCTTACGTGCTTTCCAAGGCACGAGGGTGAAATATCGCCCATCTTCCCGACTTCGGACTGTAAGTGAGAATTTCTTAACAGAATACACTCTTTTTGCCCAACCAGGGATTCGAACTCGGGACCCCATGATCCGCAGTCGCGCTATGACCACTAGACTAATGAGACAGTCAAATCAAAGGACTGGAGGGTGAGGAGTACAGGCTTACTTAAAGAAATCAAGGTACCTACGATAGGTGAATTCGATTTCCAGTTTCAGCAATACTGAAATTGATGATAATCCACTGAACATAGGCCTCCCCACTAGATTTGCATATTTGCCACAGTTGCCACGCCTGGCAAGCGGGTTTGACACCCATGGGACGATATGGGGTAGTTGATATTCTTATACAGTGGACCCACGGTAATCCTGCCCCTGTTTAATCCGGTACCCTTTGCAATCCGATATGGTCTATTATTTATTATTGAATACTAGCTTGCCAGGCAGACGTTGTTCTGCCCTTTTTGACGACCCTTTGTCCTATTAAAAATCCTTAAATTCGCAAAAAAAATGTGGGTCACTGGTGGCCAAAAAAAATCCTATCTCTCAAGTTGGACCAAACTGCACACGGTGTGCAAATTTGATTAAAATCGGTTTAGTAGTTTAGGATTCCATCGCGGACAAACAACGTGACGTCAGAGCAATCTTCGTCAGAGTACATATATATAACATATAGAATATTATCATATGTCGGATTACAAGGTACTCTTTTGTAAAAAAATGCGGACTATAGGGGTCTTAGGCAGTACTCTCTGCCCAACTAAGCGCAAAAGCGGTATCTCAATGGAAGCGAGTTTCGACTTAGTTGACGTTATGTAAAAGTGTTTTAGTTTTTGCTTTATATTAAGATTTTTTGTTTATCAAGTAATATTTATAATATAACATTGGGTCTACTTGTTATCAAAATAATTGGAATATCAAAAATCTTTGTGTAAATACCTTATTCATGAGATACTGCTACATTGCTTAGTGAATTAAAGTTTGAGTTACCGCTTTTTTGTTACCTCTTCTCCTACATGTCTGTATATAAAAAGATATAAATCTTTTGTGTATAAAAAATGTGTTATTTTAAAGAAAAAACTCAGTCAATATATGTTAACAAAAGCTTTTATTCATTAAATTTGAAATGGCATACATAATATATAGCAAAAGAAACGGGTTCTATGAAATTTAGTCAAATGATACAGGGAGATCTCTCCAAAAGGACATTCTATTTTGGGGTATAATATTTTGAAAGGATTTCAAAATATTTTCTTTTTTGCTTTTAGAAATGCCTTCCGGAGCAGTTTTCCTTTTTGGTGGTGGCAAAACTTGAGCTTTTAAAATTTTATTTCCGATTATGCTCGCAGTGATAGGGTCCTTATTGAATCCAGTTCTGTATGTCAGATCAAAACTGCCCCTGTTGACCTCTACTTCGACCATTTCATTAATATATGGACGCGGTGCAATTCGAGACAGTTTATACTGTGTCGTGTTATCTTTCCAGTCATAAAAATCTTGTAGAGTCATCTCTTTAGGTTTTACATTTTTTCCTGCAGTAGTAACTGCCTGAGAAAAGTCAGCAAAGTCATAAATTTTGTTTTTCATGCGCTTCATAGATAACCACCCTGTGGTGGAAACTGTCGGCAGACATAAAAGTGTGGCCTGGTTCGAAATATTTGATCACGATCTTGTCGGCGTTGATGTCATTTGAATTGACTACGTAAATTAAGAACGAAAAAAATGTCCAATTTTTGTTTTGTGACGAACAATTGTCGACCCAATTTCTTTTTATCTCGATGAAAAATAAAAAAAATGGAGGTATGCGCTTATGATTTCGGATTTGGAGCGTCCAAATAATCCTTCATACCATAGTACAGGAAAAACACTTAAACCTTTTCTGCCTTGACCAGTGGGCACGAAACTTTCATTATAAGCAACTATCCTGTGGGTGAAAATAGCAGTTTTGAACATGTCTATCCTGGGCAGCATGATAACTTTTTGTAAGTCGGCAGAATATACAACAGTACCAATTTCATTTAGCTCACTGTCTAATTTATATTGTGCTCTCGACATAGTTGCCCGTTCATTATGACTTGCCCACTTTGTGCAACCTAAACAGCCTTCTTGGAGATTTTCTTTGGTGTGTGTATTGTCATGCAGACGGAATTCTTCACAGTCCTCACACTCTTCGTGGCCAAGCTTCAAGAAAGATATATTTAATGCTGCGATCACTTCTCGGTATTTGTCGTAAGATACGCTGTGAGAGGGATTTTTTTCTAAAAAGTCTCTGTGCATCGCATGAATTGTCAAATCACTGGGTAAGTATAAGCGATTGGGGGCGTGCTCACGCCTATAATGAGATATACTAGGCTCGAAGCTCATTATATGTTCCTTTATAGGATTTGAGTCAATCTTATTATGAGGAGCAGCTCCCAGTCTCCTATCTACTGGCGGTGCAACTGTCTCCTTGCAATTGGCCAAAGCAGTCTGTAAAGGTTTATCGTTAGATAGTTTGTAGCTCAAAGTTGTCAAGAAGAATGTTTTACATACTCCATACGATGTCCCATTCCCGTCTTTAAGTGAATAACTGTAGATTGTTTTTTTCCTCTAGTCTTCTGATTCAGATCTTGTTACTGTTCTTTGTTTCACAGGTTTTGCTGAAGTGTGATGCAGCATAAATGCCTTCCTTTCTTTATCACCTAAATTCCAGAAGCTTTCATTTATAATTTTTCGTTGATCCTCTGATATATTCTGAATACATAGCCTTTTGCAGGAAGCTGGACAGGGTGGTTGTAAGCCATGTTTTTCTCTTATCTCATTTTTTTTTTCGCGTCTTTTCTAACATTGAGTGGTTGGTTGTATGTTTTTCTTTTTCTAATTGTACCTGCTTTTGTATAAGTTGTAAGATCATGTGTATTATCATTAGTTCTCTCATTTTGTGTCAGATTTTCAGTGTCCCTTAGATTAACACTCCTTATGACTTCGTTTCCTCGGAATGGATCCTCTACCGATCTTTCTTGTTCAGCATGTGACCCACTTGATTTATTTGTTAGAGGGTCAGCAGTATAATTCGTATTTTCAAAAACAGTTATCATTGTTTGGTCTGTGTCAACTTGAAAAGTACAGGGCCTTTGCTGATCATTTGTCTGACCAGTCTGTGTGTGATCAGTCTGTGTGACCAGAGTTCCAGTACTAGCGCTATCTACATTACAACCATTGTCTTTATAGAACAAAGTACTGGCGACGATGTTTCAGTTAAAATATTATATTCAGTAATTGGCACAGTCGTTAATGTAATCAAAGAGTTCATGGAAATGTTGTTCTCGGTTTCTGCGTTCTGATCGTGTTGATGCTGATTGAAATAGTCAACTGTCGATGTGGATGGGCCCGAAATACCGATTTCTGTGTTCTGGTCTTGTTGAGGTTGATTTAAATAGTCAACTGGAGTTTGATGTAGATAGGCTCGATACGAAGTTAAATTCTACAGATTCGAGATAATTTGACGGATTATTAATCTGAGCCAGTGATTGGTCTGCACTATCGTATCTTGAAAATGGAAGATCGTCATCTGAATCACTGCTATGGAAAAAGTCAGGATCGATATTTTGAATATTAAGTTGCAAATATTTTGATTCTTTAAACTTTTCTCTCAATGCCTTATTTTTTTGTGCCAGTAGCATCATCATTTTCGTATTTCTTTGTGACATCGTTTATCTGAAACAATATTCGTTTATAAATATTTAATAATTTTATTGACATAATAGGTAATATTTTTTTGTATTTTTCTTGTATACAATAAAGTGTTCTTTACAGTAGAAAAGTAGAGTAACTCTACTGCAACAAAAAGTTTCACACATTCACCATAAATTGGTAAATTCTTAATCTGAATAAAAAAGGTTTGGGAATAGGTATAATCAATTGACATGACAGCGAGTAGTAAATAAAGTTCCGTTTCGCTTTGTACGTTTGGCGAGAGTGCCGGCCGAACGAAAGTTGGAAGAACCTTAAATTTCAATGTTGAGTATGATTGTATTGTACTAAAATTATGTTTACAGGACTTACCTGACTCGCGAAACACAAAATTACATCACTAAATACGTTAATTCACCATTCTTTACTTATTTAACACGGTAATTACAAGATTACGATCTAATTGCAACGAAAACAAACGAGTTATGACGCGAATTTGTCAACAACACGAATAAATCACCATAAAATGTATTAAAAATCCGATCGTATCGTTTATACCATAAGGGCCAATTTTATATGCCACTGCAGCCGTATCTCATGTAGTCCAAATGATTTGCGGATCAAGTAACCATTGTAATACTAAGCGTCATAGCGGTAAGTCAGTAGTTTACTCGTTGTACATATTTGCCGCTATTTGGCTTAGAAAAAGTGTTGTTCTTTATTAAGAGATTTGGCGGTATTCAATTATACGGCTAGTTGCCTTCGTGATATTGATATACCTCTAATACTCTTAGTGATTTGAGGTATAACTGAGATAGGAAAATATTTCTTAAGGCTTTTTTCACATGTTTTGAACAAGATACCGCTAAAAGGCTTAGTTCATTAGATGCGTATTTTTTTAAGCTATCCGTTGACATAAAAATCGAATTTTCGGTATTTTTTTGAGATACCGCTTTTGCGCTTAGCAGGGCAGCTCTATAATCAGACAATTTCGATAGTTCGACACTGCCCTGCAAAATGTTTGTCGGATTACCGGGGGTTCACTGTAATTATATTTCCAGTCATATATCTTTGCCCGTCCACAAATGCAAGCAACTTGCGGCTAACAGTGGGAAGCTGGGAAGTAATAGATTTCGCGTCAAAAGTTATGTCAAAAAGCTCACCGTCAAAGTCTCCATAACTCCTTCTCCTCTCTTGCATCTTCCACTGACTCCAGTTGTCCTCCATCCATTTCTGTTCACCAGCTAAGCGAGGCGATAGCTCCCTTTCTGCTTGCGTTAGTTTTTGTTGATTTGAAGGCACCTGAAATTATATTTAACTTTCCTGAGAAAAACTATTTTACTAAAATTTGTATATTATTGTAATAAAATGTGATCAATATTTTAGTAATAACTAGCATCGCTGATGGATGATTTTTTTTTATTAAAAAGAATAACAATGCTATAAACATTACTAATATTCCCCTTAACCACTCGTGGTAAGCTTAAATTGCTTGTGTTACGAGTGGTTCACGCCAGTAGTCGAATGGTGGATTCGAACCCACGACCTTTGTGAGCTATCGGTCCGCGCCCTGCCATTAGGCTACTGTCGCTTCTTCATTCAAACAATTACATTACAGCCAGGAACTTGATGAAAAACAATGAATGTTAACTGTTACTGAACTCCACACAGTACGTGATTCATTTATGGGGCAATGTATACGGGATTTGTACAGTACGTGAGTGACCCGGGTTCGATCCCCGCCGGCATCAATGAAATAGTTAATTGCAATTTTAAGTGCTGATTTAACACGTGTTCGGCGGTGAAGGAAAACATCGTGAGAAAATCTACATGTCTGAGGAATAAGAAAAAATATTTCGAAGACATGTGAAGTTCGCCAAACACGCATTGAGGCAGCGCGGCGGACTCTTCCTTGCCGTAACACCTTGTTAGAAATTAGCGGAGGCTTGTGCCCAGCAGTGGGACGTATATAGGCTGTAACTTTACTTTCATACGGGATTTTGGACAAATAAAGTCCACCAACCATGTAGCGTAGACAGAGGGAAATAAAAACGTAATATGAGACAGTATTTTTCTGTTATCATATCAATGTAATTAAAAACTGCGGTTGCCAAGGCGGGTACTTTTAAGCGTGGCAGCTATAGCAAAATCCCCCTATGAAGCAATATATGGGCGAGGACTCAGTTAAGCAGTGGACTTTTATATGCTGTAACAAATGAATGAATGGAAAGTCCATCAACATAGGACAGCGCAGTTCTTTTCCCTGCTTCAAAACTCTTAGACAAAGTCAGGAATTTGCATTTGGAAAAGCCAAATTTAGGTGCTTTTTAGGTGCTCTAAAATCTTCACCCCAACGAACTGTTTTAAATCTGCATTACTGGCAAAACGTATCGCTAGCAACGCAGTAACGTTAAATATTAATAGTAATACGCGCCATAATTAATGACTGATACATGGCGAGTTACCACTAGCGCCATCTAGTATCGAGTAGCGGAGTCAAGATCTTTCTAGAATTTTTCATGCTAGAACTTTCTACACCTAGTCAGTCTAAGAGGTCCTATACAAGCCCGACCGAGGGAGTATTGAATTGGCGTTCAAGCGAATGCTTCGAAGCGACAAAACAGCGTAAGTGATCTGTAGTACAATTGTGTTTTATTATTAGTATGTTTTTCAAGTTGTAATTGGTGTTCTGTATTTAAAGTGTCACTTTTGGTAATTTAATCGGCAGTTTTTATTGTCACGAACCCCAAGCTCATAACAATAGCAATGATTTAATTGTTAAATAAGTGCTGAAAGATTATTGAGGTCGGATGATATTAAAGATAAGATAGGTCGAAATTTAAGAGCACCTGATTTTTGAACTTGACAGCTTGACACCTAATTAGCACCTAAAAAGATTCTAAGTTTGGGTTTTTCTAAATGCAAATTCCTGACTTTGCGTTGCTGGCGAGACGGAGCTTAATTAAGGGTTGACATATTAAGCAAGTGGGTTAAAGGGGTCATGATCATCATCATCATCATTACAGCCCTTCACAAGTCCACTGCTGAACATAGGCCTCCTCCTAGGAATGCCACAAAGCACGGTCCTGAGCCACCTGCCTTCATTGACTTCCTGCATGTCTTACCAGGTCGTCATCTAGTGGGGGGTCGCCCTACACAACGATACCGGTACGAGACTGGCACTCGAGGGGTAAATCATAATAAAATGAAAATGACGGATGATGAAAACACTGAAAAAAAAAAGATAACTTACCGCATACAATTCAACGTCGTCGGTTTGAACAGCAACAGATAGTGGCCTACCCAAACTGTTCACTTGGACACCAGTGTCCACCTTGCTGTAAGTTTAAAAGATAAACTGGTTTATTTTTTATTGATAAATGGTTAGGGTATCTGAGTCACTGGTCATGGATGTGAATTCTAGCTTGCTTGAAGAATTATTTTTGCGGAACAAGTCATTAGTTAACATGACTGAACGAATTGCTGTTAATTTGTCATCTCAGACACTACCCAAACCTACCTCCGATCATATACACATTCCTGATGGTAAGTGGATGGTAAGGCCCACAGACGCCCACATCTGTCTTCGATTAAGAATCAAAATACAGATACGTTGTCACCCCTGAGGACTAAGATGGAATGCCTCGTTACCAAAAAAAGGTCTCCGTTTTTCGTCTGTCGCCATAAGAAACACGGCAGCTATTTATCGCTGGTATTCCGTGCGAACGTGGTGGTAGAGGTGTCTATGGGTTATAGATGCTACTTAGCATCAGTCGTCAGTCGTTATCTAGTTTGTCACTCACTTATTTGAAGGGGTATGTTTTTGGTACTATTATAATTATAATTATGGATCTCTGAAACGAAATCGTAGGCAATATAACCGAAATAATGATGATGTGGCGGCGCTGTCGTCGCGCCACAAGCGAAATACACCCAAGCCTAAATCGCGCTATCAAAGTTCAGAAGTTACCGCGCTATATATAGAACAACTCCGAATGATCACACGGAGCGTTGGCCGCTACCCGGCCCATCTCTTTGCCCGGCAGGAGAGCTCCTGTTTTCCTTCTACGGCCAAAATGTGGTACAGCTTGATTTTCGGCCATCTGCACAGGACAGGATTGTAGTGCTCGAGTGTATTTATGGGCAAGCACAGGTGCACTCTCTATTCCCTCATTCGATAGGACAGCAATCCGACACGACCGGAGGGAGATCAGTTGCAAGACTAACGGCTTTAAGTATTTTCCAAGGTCCGGAATTGAAACACCGGCAGTTTTCCGACTCCAGGCTGCTACTGAAAATTTCTTGACAGAGAAACCCAAATACTGTTTTTGACTGGATCTAAGATTCAAGCCCGGGACAACATGATCAGTTATCGCGATTACGAGAATAGACCGAGGAGGCAATCAGATTGCCTAATAATAAAGATAAAGTGAACAGTGTCTTTGGTACAATATTTTGGTACAATATGGAGATGAAAATCTCATTAGCATTTATGAAAGTTTTTAAAATTTAATACGACCTAGGGACCTTCAAAAGAGCTTACTCCTTTCTAAAGGGCCGGCAACGCTCCTGCAATTACCCTGGTGTTGCGGTAGTTCATGGGCGGCGGTAGTCACTTAACATCAGGTGAACCGTATGCCAATTGCCCCCTCTCCTATAAAAAAATAATTGAAATTAGCATCGGTGTTTCAGTATAGTAGAATACTTACGTTATAAATGTGTTACTATTCCCGTTGGACACATCCTGCCCGTAATTGAAACTGGCTCTGCGTCTAATCGGACTATGGTTCTCTTGTTCCAACTGTCTCCTGTCTAGTTCCTTTTCTTCTTCCCGCGCTCTTTCCTTCTCCTCGCGCTCGCGACGTTCCCTTTCTGCTTTTTCTTTCGCGTCCTGTTTTAACTTCGCTTGCTGCAGAAATCGGTAATACATAATGTAGTTAGCATGAACTTGCATTTAGCATTTTATCTGCATATTGATTCGTAATCTAGGATAGATGTAGATGTCTATGGACCACAGAAACCACTTACCATCAGGTGGACTGTGTGCTCGTTTGTCACCTTTATCCTCTAAAAAACCGGCCAAGAGCGTGTCGGACCGCTCTGCAACTGCTCCCGGTAGTGGGTACTGTAATACTGTTGTTACCATCCAAGTCCAAAATGATTTTCCTAGAAAGTCCTTATAAAGTTCTACTTTTCAGATTTTTTCATATTTTCTAAACTTATGGTTCAAAAGTTAGAGGGGGGGACACATTGTTTTTTTAATTTTGGAGCGATTATTTCCGAAATTATTGACATTATCAAAAAATGATTTCAGTAAACCCCTATTCATTTTTAAATACCTTTCCAACAATATATCACACGTTAGGGTTGAAATTAAAAAAAAATCACTTCCCACTTTACATATAGGGGGGGCTACCCCAATAAAACATTTTTTTTCCAATTTTTATTTTACCACTTTGTCGGCGTGATTGATACACATATTGGTACCAAATTTCAGCTTTCTAGTGCTAACGGTCACAGAGATTAAGCGAGGACGGACAGACGGACAGACAGACATGGCGAAACTATAAGGGTTCCTAGATCACTACGGAACCCTAAAAAAGATACGACGTGGTAGGGCTCCTTTACTTTATAGCAGTCTGTCCAGTAAACTAACTAACTAACTAACCTGTTCTGCCGCTAATAGAACCCACCCCGCCAAGGGTGGCAACTATGATAAATAACCCCCTATGAAGCAATCTATGTTAGAGGATGTTCAGGTGTGGGCGTTTGACTGTACACTAGATGGTTATAACGCCAGCTATAAAATGCGATGAGATCTTTTGGCATTTTCCATAGTCTCCTTTTAGGACACCCACGGGAATATATGAGGTACTCGTACGCCGCCAATGCAGGGGTAGCAATACGTTTACATATAATTTATTTTTAATATTATGTAGTCAAAAAAAGTCCAAATCTAAATAAGTCTAAATTGGTGCCGGTTGGGGGAGTGGGGTGTCGAACTGTATTTGCTCACACGTGTAGCAGCACTAATGCATAGTTGCTATAATTAAAAATGTTTAGTTTTTCGCTTATAACTCGTTATACAGGGCAGTGTTCAGCAGTTTACTGTCGGCTAGGCTGAATGGTTTGCTAATAGAGAAGGTGAAACTTGGAGGTTGGAATAATATCAAACGATTCCTCGGAGCTCCTCGAGTTAACAAATAAAAATAAATATCCAACCTCCTTTTAACCGACTTTAAAAAGGAGGAGTTTCTAAATTGGAGTGTATTTTCTCTTTTTTTTGTTGTGTACGTAATAATATAATAAAACGTGTAATATGTTACGCGATATCTTCACAGACTGTTAACCGATTTTGATATCTCCTTCTTTTATTAAATAGACTTTACCTTAAGAGTGATCCCATAAAATTTTGAAGAAAGCATTCCACACCCAAGAGTGGAAAATAGGGGAAAAAGTTTCATACTGGACTATAGTTTAAGGAATCTTCGTAGATAAAGAACCGATTTTAATTTAATTTTGTTTATTTCTTTTTATATATTGTCATAAATTATTGTGACAAGCGAATACACAGTAAACCTGATAGTAAACACTTACCCACAGCATCCACATGCTGTGCCCATAGAGATCTACATTTATCCTCGATTAAGAATCAAAACTCAGATGCGTTCTCCCTGAGGACTAAGATGGAATGCCTCGTTTACAGTAAAATAGGGTCTCCGGATCTCTACACTCACCGTACGAAACACAGCAGTATTAAGCTGCTATTTTACGCCTGTGAGAGCTTGGTCCTTCCACGGTCGAGCCGACCCATTCGTGCTACAACCATAATATAACTGCAACGTGGCTTTAACGGGTATAAAATGTGATTAAATAGAAATGTTTTTTTTTTCTTAAATAGGTTTTACTTCAAGGGTGGTCTCATATAATTTTGAAGAAAAAATTCCGCCTCAAGGGTGGAAAATAAGGAAAATAGAGGGAAAAGTTTCATAGTGGACTATTGTTTAAGGAGTTTCATATGATATTTTCGCAGATAAAGAATCGATTTTAATGATTTTTTTTCTTAAATAGGGTTTACTTTTTGCTCAAGGGTTGAAATAAATAACTTCTTTTTTTAGCAACTAGAAGTCGGTTTTTACTTTTTGTTAAGTTATAATCATAGTATACACGAAAGTCAATATAAAAAGTCAAGTCATTATAAAACTTGACTATGGCTAGATTGCGATTGCATTGCATCGATTAGATCCTAGTAATATCACGTACCTGATCGAGATATTCTCTGTACTGTTGCTGTCGAAGTTTCCGCAGTGTATTCCTTCTCCGCTCATATTCCCCTAGTCCGAGCAACGCGTCCCCTGTTGTTCTCTCCCCTCTTAACAGTGGATTATTGGGCGAGTACTCTCCTGCTTTCAGCATCACTGGTAAACCTGTGCAGCGCTGAAATATAAAATATCATTGGCAAAAACACTTCCACTCAATGAAACGACTATCTGAAGAGGCATGTCTATGGACGTAGGTCCTGAGACACCTCTGGACCACTGTCATCTATTTTTACAGAATAAAGGTGACAAACGAGAACACAGTCCACCTAATGGTAAGTGGATGCTGTGACCCATAGACTTTTATCACATAGACATTTATCCTCGATTAAAAACCAAAACACACATGCGTTGTCACCCCTGAGGATTAACACACCGGAGACACCAAAAAGGGTCTCCGGATCTCCACACTCACCGTACGAAACACAGCAGTATTAAGCTGCTATTTAACGCTGGTATTCTGTGAGAGCGTGATCCTTTCACTGTCAAGCCGACCCATTCGTGCTACAACCATAATATAACTGCAGTATGGTCCGCACTTTAGTAGCAGTACTTTGATTCAGCGGGGGGAGGCCCTGAAGCAGAAGAAGAAGTTTCATAGAACTCGGATTCCAAACCTCAGTCTGAGAGTAGCTCAACAAGTAAAATGAAAAATTGCAGTGATAATTTACGACTTTCATCGTTATTAATAACGTCAAAAATATAAAAACAATATTTTGAGAGCATGTAAAGTACACGAAACAGCACTGGAACAGCGAGTTGGGTTTTTCGCTGCCCCATGTCACTTTAAAATAAGATCTACCTTCAGCGCAATCAAGAAATTGACCTCTTGCAAAAATGAGAAATTTCGGTCCGAGGTTAAGCGACAAGTGCGAGTGGCAAGTGCAATTGACAAATGGCAAGTACTTAGTGCGTTCAATGTTGTATATGGGCCTCTTGCGGAAATTGCCTTTCTTCGTCGTATTATTTCACGCTATGCAGGCTCATTGGCAATCGTAGTACCAGACATTGTTACCGCTACCCGTCTCCACACTGAATATTCAGAAAGTATATTAGAAAGATATATATAGTCATCTACCGCAAACTCTTAAATTTTTCTAACCTTTCTTACGGTCGCCTCATATGACACCATTTATACGTGTTAGAGCCACGCTACAGCTATATTATGGTTGTAGCACGAATGGGTCGCCTCGACCGAGGTAGTACCATGCTCTCACACAATACCAGCGTAAAATAGCAGCTTAATGTTGCTGTGTTACATATGGTGAGTGTAAAGAATGAGAGACCCTTTTTAATAGAGTGCGTCGCGTATTCCAGGAAAGGTGATCGGTGGTACCCAGCTTTTATATATATTCTTATTTGTTTTGTGTTGTTAATTGTGTAACATACATGATTATAAGCTGTTATTTAAAAAAAAAATAAGTCCCGCTGGGTTTCTTGCTGGTTCTTTCCATGACAGAGGTTTTTTCTGAACCAGAGGTAAATTAAAAAAAGTGACTTTCAATAAGTATTATTTATAATCTAATATTGAATAAAAAAGTTTCTGTTTCTGTTTATATCTTGGTCGTCACGACTGTAACAATCTATCTGCAGTTTGATTCTTGATCAAGAATGGATGTGGATGTCTGTAAGCCACAGCATTCACTTACCATCAAGTAGACTGTGTGCTCGCTTGTCACCCTCATTATATAAAATAATGCGGCATTAGATTTCTTTTTATCGCCATCAGATGTCTTATAAAATACATAGGCTACAGATATTGACTGCAAGGTCGAAAACCCAAGCAAACATATGCATTCAAATCAGAGAAGCACACACAGCGTCACCGCTGTAATCATTAGACACGCGCGACCGCCTCTCACGCGATCGTACAGCTCAATTAATTGCACTAGACTGATTCAACGCTTCGTTTCACTTGCAAACGACTTAAAGCGTTCTGTAATTTTAGCAAATCACGACAGTTGTTTTCAGAAAAGATAGACCATTTGATATATGGTCCTTATTGTAGACTATAGTTCAATTAACAAACGATTTAACTTTAGAACGAACGTCGTGTGTTTTTCCAGAGGATACTAAACTTGTATTATAGAATCCGGAACTCTTTTTTATGCCTTGGGATATTTTCGTGAGAATAGTATAATCGAATTTCCAGGAAGATCTTGTAGCATATCACTAATAACAGTATAATTTCATCCATACCAGTCCTAAAATTTAAGCGAAAGGGAGGCGAAGGGGAGAATTGTGAACCGTCTGCGAGAGCTTATAGAGAAAAATATAAAATACCATGTTAATATTGCATAGTGTTAACGTATCCAAAAAAATTTAAATAATGACCGATATTTAAATAATACTAGTTTTTTTGGATTTTATCGCGTATATTTAACTTTTTAAATACCCGACGTTTCGAGTACTTTAATTTATGATAACCGCGGTTAAATATGACATCTGAACGTTGAACATCTCAGTCCCCCCGTGACCATGGGTGCTGCAAAGTGCTCGAAACGTCGGGTATTTAAAAAGTTAAATATACGCGATAAAATCCGTAAAAATAAGCATTATTTAAATGTGTAGTGTTCGCGTAAATATAAGAAATCATAATGAGCGATATTGTTGTGCTATATAATATTTGCTATATACTAGCTTTCTTCGCTGGCCGCACGATAATATTTTATTTCGGAACCTACATCTGAAATATCAAGATTTTTTTTGATGGGACTATCGTAAGATCTGTTCTTTGTAAGCGTCTACATTGCTAAATAAGTCACTATACTAAATTTCAAGTCAATCGGGTGTATAGTTTTACAGATCTCGTGATGAGTCAGTCAGTCAGTGGTATATATATATAATCGGAATCTCGGAAACGGCTTCAACGATTTTCATAAAATTTTGTGTCCAGAGAGAGGGTTTCGGGGGCAATAAATCGATCTAACTAGGATTCATTTTCAGATAATGTCATTTTATCCGTGTTTTCAGGCAATGAAAAACTGCTACAATATAAGAAGGGAAATTTTGATACTGTATTAATGGTCGTAATAGCTCAAGTGGATATCGGCCCGTCGCGAAATCGTAGTTCGTTGGTTCGCGTCCTGTCTTCGATCTGACTTTTTTCCTTTTTTTTTCGAGTTACCTTCTTTTGTGAGAAAATCTATTATTTCGAGCTCTATTTTTAGTATTTTTTAAAAATTATGAAAATTTAATTGCACTCATGATTTTTTATTCTAATAACCAGTTCATTTTTTCTATTATATCGGTTAGATCAAAAAAAAATCTTCATATTTTATCAGTGGTATGTAATTTGATTAAATTAATTTCCAAAACACACGATTTCAAAAAAAAATACCGAGCAATGCTAGGTACTATTAACTATATATTAAAACTTAAAACTCCGCAGCCATTGTAAATACACTGCAACCGTGACGTAAAGCCAACCTCCGTCAACAAGAATGAGAAATTTTGTCAATATAGTTAAACTTAAGGTCTACATTTTTTTAAATAGAATAAATGTGACAAACAAGCACGTAGTCCACCTGATGGTAAGTGGTTGCTGTAGCCCAAAGACGTCCACATTTATCCTTGGATTAGGAATCAAAACGCAGATGCGTTATAACCTGTAGGACTAAAATGGAATGCCTCGTGGCCAAACGGTACTAAACTCTACGGGTCTCTACACTCACTAAAAACAGAAGCACTAAGCTGCTATTTTACGCTGGTATTCTGTATGAGCGTGGTCCTTCCCCGGTCGATCTGACCTATTTGTGCTACAACCATATAGCTGCAGCACGGCCCCACCACTTATAAATCGTATATACAGTCTAATACATTCCACAGCGGACATGGGGTACATGAGTAAAAGACTAATTTGTGAAGGGAACACTAAGTCCACCGTTCTGCTCTAATGCGTAATGACGGACTACATGTCTTTGAAATATTTTTAATTTATTCCACATGGAAGTTTCCTCGCGATGTTTACCTTCGTCGTCGGGCAAATGGTAAAGCTGCTCTTACGACTCCAACTTACTAATTCTTTGGCGCCGGCTGGGATCGAAACGGGGAGCACTTATTTGACTCTTTAATTTAGTCTATATACTGAATGACCTTTTTTACCGTCTGGAAAAAAATATGGTTTAACGTGTGAACGGAGAAGCCCATGGCACTGATATTTAACAAAAAATAAAAACAAAAACTTTAAATTAAATAAATAAATTAATTAAAATTTATCGAAATTCAAAACATATCCACCCTACTTTACAGAATTAGGCATCTTTGACCTTGTCACTTCGCAGGGTCACAGGCTGAAGGGCAAAGGGTAAAGTAATTGTAAAAAAAAATTCTAATGCTTAATTCAAAGTTTTGGTTTTTATTTTTTGTTAAATATCAGCGCCATAGGCTTCTACTCCGTTCACAGGTTACACCGTATTTTTATCCCGACGGTAAAAAAATCATCCAGTATAATAGTACTCAAATAATTTCCTCAAATAGAAAAGCACATACATAACAGGGGACTTTTAAGACTTAGGACAAAAAAAACGAAGAAGATACCCAAGTTCAAATATAAATAGATATTTTCCGATAGGATATGGGTGACTAACAAACACACAGAACACAGTTAGTTTCTGTGCTGTACGTAGATGATGTGGCCCATAGACTCTATAATCTAACCTCCATTAAGAATCAAAATGAAGATCCGTTGTCTCCCCTAAGGATAAGAGATCCGTTGTCTCCCCCTAACATGAAATGCCTCGTTACCAGTGAAAGGGTCTCCGGTCCTCTGTCCACTCACCATACGAAATAAAGCAGCCTTGATGTTATTTCACGCTGATGTGCTATAAGAGTGCAGTTCTCCGGTCGAGCCGTTGTACACGTATAATGTAGAACGAACACAACCTGCAGTACTGAAAGTGTTATTGTGCGCATGGAAGAAGCCAATGGCTCCTCAAAAACAGTTTAACACTAGTTTTTGAGCCTATGGATTCAATGAAACATTTATTGTAATATTTTTAAGTAAAATATTTTTTCGTAAAGTATCGTATTGACTTTGAGTTAATTTGTACCTTCGCCAGGTATTCAGAGCCTCGTCTGTCAGCCAGCCCCTTCTGC